CCCGGCGAAGGCGTTGTTAATTTTTCATCTCTCTGGCTTCCAAAAAATCCTAATGTCTCTACAAGTGGCGCTCGAACTAAAAGGGTTGTGGATGATGATCCTCCACCCCCAGAAATTGGCGACTAGGTCCCCTAAAACCCTAGTCGTCCTTTCAAAAAGTGGAGTATATAAGGTATTTCTCCCACTTTCCTAGCGTGCCTTCGTGGTGTAATAGTAGCACGCTGTGCCGGTATTCCAGAGGTCCGTGGTTCGATTCCCGGCGAAGGCGTTGTTAATTTTTCATCTCTCTGGGTTCCAAAAAATCCTAATATCTCTACAAGTGGCACTCGAATAAAAAGGGTTGTGGATGATGACCCTCCACCTCCAGTATTTGGCGACTAGGTCCCCTAAAACCCTAATCGCCCTTTAAAAAAGGGGAGTATATAAGGTATTTCTCCCACTTTCCTAGCGTGCCTTCGTGGTGTAACAGTAGCACGCTGGGCCGGTATTCCAGAGGTCCGTGGTTCGATTCCCGGCGAAGGCGGTTGTTTATTTTTCATCTCTCCTTCCTCCTAAAAAAATCCTAATGACTCTACAGACTTAGCCAGAAGGGAAACACCCTCCATTAAAGATCCTAGCACTCTCTATCGAAGTAAGCTGAACCTTCCTTAAATACTTCTTCTAACTCGTTTGCATTCAACGTAATTTTAAAAACTCATTCTGGTAGGAAGTTGTAAGTGAAAACAAGAATTGATCGGAAAGATTTTCACAATTAAAATAACTGCTATAAAATTAAAAACAACTTACAGCCGTTTTATGCTAACAGCAATTCTAAAGAAAAAATATTAAATTCACTATCACTCATTATGTGAAACAAATATAACTTAATTTCCTCTATAACTGCGTAAATATGAGCCAGTTTCCCTTAGAAATGTCTCCAAGAAGGCGTTTTTCCGTTTAAACGAAGAGCCCTCGCATGCTTTGTCGTAATCGGCCAAACGAATAATAGATTCCTGCAGAGTTTGCTTTTCTGCAATGGTAGCCAATAGGCAGGGTAGAAAAAATGCTCAAGTTTATTTATCACTACTTTATTCATTAAATGTTTGAAATGTAATACTTTATTCATTTAAATGTTGAAATGTAATACTTCATTCATTTAAATTCATAAATGTTTGAAATGTCTACTTTATTCATTAAATGTTTTCCCCCTGCCTCCATAAAATAAAGAAATGTTAAATTACCAGTAAAGATTATTTTTACTTCTTTGATATATTATTACTAAATTAGTAAGTTAATGCCGTAAAAATGTTCACGGTTTAATTAAAATGTGATAACATCTTCTTAATAAATATGATAAACTCGTGTAATTTCAAGGTGTGACAAGAAATATTTTTGGGAGCAAATATTTCATACTCACACCTCCAGCTCGAAAGGCCATTAATGTCCAACTGGACATGATAGTATATATCATGTATATAGTTTTTGCGTGAATTTCAAAAAACGAAATTGAAGATATAATACCAAAGCAATACGAGTCCGAAAATATTCTCATATTATTGAGAGAAAAGCATGTATTTTTACTTCCTTGTACGAAGTAAAAAGGAAGTATTGTAATCGCGAAAAGTTTCAGGCAGCATATTTCAACGAAAATATCCATTTTGACCGATATCGAATGCAATTTAACGATGTTTTTGCGTGATATCTGTACGTAAGGACAGAATAAAATACTCTTTTCCTTCAAAAAAATTATAAAACTGCTTTAAAATTAATTCTGAAGAGAATTTTTCGTGGCGTCTGTACGAACGTATACGTGCGTACGTACGTATCTCGCATAACTCAAAAACGAGTAGCCTCAGAAAGTTGAAATTTTGTATATAGGACTGCTATAACATGTAGATGTGCACCTCGTATTTTGGTTGCAATCGGCAACACCAAAACGTATATAAATATATTTATATATATATATATCCACTCTGTTACCCGGCTCAGTGATCTCAGTTTCTTTACTCTTATATATTTATAAATTGTACATTTTTTGCTTTAAAAATGATTGTATTATGTTGTTTTTATCTTCCGGTTAAGGATTTTATGGCTTTAGTAAATCTGTGTGCAATATTTTTAGAATTATCAACAATTTTAAAGTTGTTTTATTGCCGCTAAGCCTGTTTTTAATGGCGGCCGTTGATGTTTACATTTAAAACTGGAGACTAGTGGATTTGTTGCCAATCTAGAGAAACTTAGCTTCGCAACAACAAAGATAACGCATTCCTTTATTATTGCCAATTAAATCATGCTTAATTCTTTCTGGAATTTTGTCGAGGAAATAAGTGTTTGAGATATACTTCCTAATTTTTAATATAGATATTGTGAGTTTTTATGTATTTTTGCCTTCTCGCGAAGTGAGAACTGAATTAATTAAATGAGAAATACTCAATCGTCTGAAGAAAACTATTTCTTTTTTGTTTTGTTTGCTTAATTTCTTTTATACATCATGCTAGCTTTATTATAGTATTTGAATAGAACATGTGGCAACGATTAGATAATTCTATTCTTTAAATGATATAAATTTTGTGCATTATGAGTTATAATATGAACAAAATATATACGTTAATTTTTATATAATTATTGGATTATATAACAGTTAGTTTCCGTTATATAATTATTATATAAGTTAAGTGTTATATAATTATTAATACTGTTAAGTGAATCTAGCGCCAGAGTGTCGCTATGGTAAACAAATACTAGAGTGAAATTTAAAGAATGCATTTATTCTATTGTGGTTTATGCGCTGTCGGCGAAGTAGATTTAATTCAATCTAATAAGTTTAAATGAAATATAAGAAAAAAAAATGCGTATAATTTAATATTCCAATACAAGGAAGTCATGTGGTGTACACATCAGATTTTTTTTAAGCTGTGTTGTTTGAGAGTGAGAACTAGTGGTACAAATTACCTTGAATAATGAATAATGAAATGAGAGCATATACTGCTTTTTACTAACTGACATAATGTTAAATAAACGTTTCAAACGTTACCGAATAATGTGCACTACCATAATAAATATTTTATAGCTAATGTGGAAAATTCTCAGCAACTGATTTAAAATTAATTCATGTTTTTATATCTTATGTATTTATTAATAAACTATCTTAAAAATATTGAAACCTCTTTGCAGAAAATTGTTTGTGTACTAGTTAAAGTTATTTCTCTTCTCGAATTCCATGTATTAGAACAACGTCAAACTAATATTATTTTTAGCGTACACTCTGAAAAAAAAAGGAGGGGGGAAGGAGTACTATATCTCCCGTTCAACTCGGCCGATGGACGAAATTTAACTTGCATTTTTCATGTCTCGAAAACGCGATTTAGGATATGTATTAGATTTATATATAGCATTGTTCTAGTATAGGCATTTTGACATAAAAGTGGAAATTTTTTGAAATTACATACCGATTTATATTTTTCCATATTTCCCTTCTACGACCTAAATTATGCCAAGATGACAAGTTTCGTAAAAATCGCACGAGTAGAAATAAAAAAATTAGCTTTCAGAATTATTTTAGCTCCTCAATGCTAATTGAATTTGCTACATAATTTTTAAATCTCTTTTTTTTTTTTTTTTTTTTTTTTTTTTGTTACTTCCTTGTACAAAGTAAAAAGAAAGTATTGTAATTGCGAAAAGTTTCAGGCAGCATATTTCAACGAAAATATCCATTTTGACTGCAATCGAATGCAATTTAACTATGTTTTTGCGTCATATCTGTACGTAAGGACAGAATAAAATACTCTTTTCCTTCAAAAATATTATAAAATTGCTTTAAAATTAATTCTGAAGAGAATTTTTCGTGGCGTCTGTACGTACGTATCTCTCATAACTCCAAAACGAGTGGTCTCAGAACGTTGAAATTTTGTATATAGGACTGCTATAACATGTAGATGTGCACCTCGTATTTTGGTTGCAATCGGCAGCACCAAACATATATAAAATATATTTATATATATGTAAGATAAAAAATATATGAATCAAAATTATAGTTTAAACTATTAATTCTTCCTCTCTATTCTAAAATCGTAATAACTTCTCTGCTTTGCGTCATTTCTAGATCACCCTATGATCGGCGCAGCTCTGATGACGTAATCATTGGGAACAGAAACTGTCCTTGTAAACCAAAACTTTTCTCTTCGCGTGCCTCCATCTTTCATAACTACGCACTTCAGCTTTTGCCCTCTGCTCTGCTAAGATGTAATTTCGTTGGCTTGCTTTCTATCTCAACAATATTAAAAATGTAAATCTTCTGTGGAAAGGCACGACTAGAGTGCCAAGTGATTGTGGCCACAAATATCAATTGGAAATACAAATGGAATTAAAACTGCCAAGTTCTTTAAGTACTACGCAATCAAAATTCTTCTTCAATATGGATCTAAGCACGCATCTACAGTGTTCCGTCTTTTCCTTTGCTTTTATTATTACATATATATCCACTGTATTACCCGGCTCAGTAATCTCAGTTTCTTTACTCTTATATGTTTGTAAATTGTACATTTTTTGCTTTAAAAATGATTGAATTATGTTGTTTTTATCTTCCGGTTAAGGATTTTATGCCTTTAGTAAATCTGTGTGCAATATTTTTAGAATTATCAGCAATTTTTTTAAAGCAATTATTAATTTTAAAGTAATTATAATATTATCAGCAATTATTAATAATTTTAATCGTAGAGTGGAAATATAAAAAAATAGGTATGTCATTTCAGAAAAAATCCGATTTTGTGTCAGAATACTTGTATACTTTGTGAATGTCAGAATACTTTGTGACAGAACAATGGTATATGTAAATATAATTTATATCTTAAATCGTGCTTTCGAAAAGTAAAAAACGCACGGTAAATTTTCATCTATCGGTCCAGTTAAACGGAAGTTACAGAAGCATCCCCCTTTTTTTTTGTGTAGGGTGTACATATTTGAGAGACACTTAGACGGTATAAATGAAAGTCTAATATAAAAAAAGTAAAAAAATGGTTTACCAAATTCAACATTTGATTTTCTTTATTATCATCCGGTCGAGCGTATAGAGGAGCATTGTGTCCTGTAAAGCTTTCCCATCCGCCGTGATAATCGTAGCACATGACATTCACGAAATCCAAGTACCTATAAACATAAGCAGTACGTCTTTAAAGTAATACAAGTTATAATAAAAATAAGGAAAACATTCAAACCGTTCAGAGCTGGAAGTAAAATAGTAAACATATTCTAACAGTTAAAGTAGTAAACATATTTGACAACTAGGAATGTAGAATACAGAAAGTAACATGAATATTTTTTGTTACTTGTGGATTCAAAAACTATACACCACTTTGAACTTTAACTAATTCCCCAGTTTCAACCTTTGTTTCAAGATTATTTCAAATAAAAGTGGTTTCATGCATTTCGAAAGACCAATGGCATGGTATCTCTTTTATTCAGAAGCAAATTATTCAGAGTACATGCAAAATGACATGCGCTGCTGAGGGTGTAAGGATCCTAAGTTTTACTAACGTTTATTTTATTTTAAAACTGTACTATCACTTCTTATTTTATACTTCCGGCCAGAATTAAATGCTTTAACTTGTTTATGCAAATTGTCTTGCTAACGCCAAGTACTTAAGTTGTGGCTTTTTGCCAAGAGAAGGAGAAGGAGTTTTAGGAAGCAAGCCGCTTGCCACTGTAGTTTTACGAGTTTTCACTCGGTTGCTGGTTGCCTTTAAGGCCAGAGGTTTAGCCCTCTTGATATTTGCAGACGTATCGTAGTTTCAGCAGCTCGGCGTACTACATACGTACCTTTTTTAAATAAAGGCCAGTCTTAGTGCTAGGCATTTGTATACTAATTCAAAGTTAGCTTTTAGTTAGCGTTTTAGTTAGCATTTTTTGTATTTTTACGCTCAGACCACAAGCGGTTGGTCTTTGTATTCCGAAGTTAAGAAGTGCCTGTAAAAAAGTATTGAAAATAAAGGGTTTTGTATACTCTTCCTGCTTGTATTGTCTACTTCACACCTTCTTGAACATAGCTTGAGTAAGCTATTCCTATTCAGGATCATTCATGTTTCCAACACAAATCAAGAGAAACACAAGTCCTGACAAGGGAAAAAAAAAAAAAAAAAAAAAAACCACCACTCTACTAACTTAATTTTATTTATAATAACACAAAAAAAAAGATGAAAATTACCCATTACTAAAATTTATTAGTGGTTTTTATTACCGTGACAGTTATTTCAACCATCATAGAAAACACGTATCAAATGACAGCCATTATTGCTTTTAGAATATTTGAATTCCAACTATAATCTAAAAGGCTTAAAACGAGAATAATACAATTCGTAAAAATTCATGACTAAGAATTAACCCTTTGACTACGAATTAAAAAAAAAGTTTACCCAGTTTTCTATCCAAGTGAACAAAACATGTCATAAATAAGGTAAATTTAACATTTAAGTTTTTTTTGACATATATATCCCAGCCGTAGTGAATGGTGGAATACATATGTCCCACACGTAGCGATGGACTTACTATATGCACACCTATTATTCTGGAAAACTTATTCTATGAAATAGATTTTATGTCGTATGGTACAGGAAAAGCATTCTTTGCGTAACCCAACATTACACATTGGCCAACTCATATTTGATTTTCCAACTGTGGGAAGATGGATCTCCAAAATTCAGGAGATTCTAAGTATTTTTTGGTACTATTCGGTTTCGAGGGCCGTAAAAAATCGCCAAACTATTGTTGATGCCAATGCTGCCAAAAATAATTGCGGCAACCCTAACGCAAGAAAGGAAGTATAATAGTAAATAACTATGTAAGATTGATGTTTTAATTTAGATGAAAGGTTAATTTCATATAATACTTTTTTTATTATTCTAATTTATATGAAAAAGGCTAAACATGACTGAATGGAAGCATAAGAGTCAATAACTATTTCAGATCATTATTATAATTTATATAAAAATTGCTAAACATAACTGAATGGATGCCTGCATCGCTATTTCGCTACCGACTTATCGCTAAAGCATAATTTCATCTCGTTGGTCGTTCAAACGTAAATTTCTATAACGAATGATGCCTTTTCTTTGAAAATATTCTCGGTAAAGCGCAGAATCGCTCACTTATTTGTTTGCCGCTTTTTACAAGGGTAAAAACAATTGGAATTTTGTCAATTTTCTTTTACTTTTTAAGTGAAAATAGGTCGATGTGTACATAGATAAAGTCAAGGGTGTTCGCAGTGCCATTTTTGTGCAATTCTAGGATTTTTTTTTTAAAGTGAAAATAGGTCGATGTGCACATGTATGTGCAATTCTTAAAAACGCGTCAAGCAGTGGGTGATTCTGCATTTTACCCAAAATTATATTGCCGACTTTTCGTCATGGGCAATTCCCAAATCATTAGATCCATAGGATATCAAAAAAGGATTTAAAATCAAAAAAGGATTTAAAAATTAAACTAGTATTTCAATGGCGTCTTTAAGAAATATAGAACTATATAAACTTGCGCAATCTGAAATCAGCGCGTACGCTAGATTTGGCGCGCTGTTAAATGGGCGCGTTTGCTAGATTTGGCGCTTTTGCGCATACATTTTCGCTGCAATTTTTTACGGTCCTCAAAACGGAATAGTACCGTACTTTTTAACCCAGTAGTAATTTTTAAAATTTTAGTGGGATATATATGTCGCGTTACAAGTCAAACGATTAAATCTTCTTCAAGAATTTATCTTCTTCAAGGCCGTAAATCTTCTAAATGCACCTGTTTTAAGAGAAAGAACTTGAATGAGCGATAGAGGGAGTATCAGATCCTCTTCAGTTGAGCATAAATCAGTCTGAATTTCAATTTAGTATATACTGCTTATTCTGTATTCCAATGTTTTTGATAGAAGACAAATATACTGGTGTAAATTCCTTTTATGAAGGATTTATATAAAAACGCAAAATATTTATACAGCCGTACAGTACTTACTGCGATACTTGTGGAATATCATAAGCTAGGTCTATGGTATGTTTACCGGCAGAGACTGCGGCTGTGAGTAGCAGGTTGTGTGGTTGAAATGCGGCTTTCAGTTCCTGAAAAATAAATAAAAATAATAAAAAATCTGATTTTTAAAAATTTTAAGATTTTATATTGCGTCCAAAGGGACTTTTTTATTTAACGTTTTGCTTGTTTACTTTATTTACTAAATATCATGTTCTTCGCACTTAAACCACAAAATTCAATTCAACAGCAATTCACAAAATAATTTTAAAATACACTCATGTCCATAAATTAAGGATAATTAGGAGTCACGCGGAAATTGAACTCTAAAATAAATATATCACCTGTAAAATCACTACACACGTCTTCAAGAATCATATGCAAATTTCAGGAAGTAACCAGATGACACGGATGGTACGTCACAATGACGAGAGTGCAAGAGAGTGATATATAAGGAATACAGGCAAAGAAGTAAAATTGTTCGCAGGCGCTTTATAAGCATTTCAGTGCAATAACCGAATAGTTATGGCACAAATGACGCATTTGGATGATTTTTTACCTGGTAGAATTATCGGCCGTCTGGAATGTGGGTGTACCCAACTGGAAGTATCAGTATCTTGGAATTGCCCAGAGCGTCATCTCCAGGCTTTGGCAACGATTCCAAGATGATGGTAATGTGAGTAGACGTTACAGCACAGGTCGCCTCGAGTTACAACGCCGAATGAGGACCGGTATTTGGCAATTACTGCCAAAAGAAACAGGCGGAGCACAGCCTCAGATCTGTCTCGTCAGCTCTCTTCAGCCACTCGTACGACAATTTCAAGGCAGATCGTGTACAGACGCTTAGGGCAGATTGGTCTATATGCTCGTAGACCTGTCAGATGCGTTCCACTTACTGCCAATCACTGTCGCCTGCGGTTAGCCTGGAGTAGAGAGCATGCATTGTGGACACCGCAACAGTGGGCTTGTGTGATGTTTTCCGACGAGTACAGGTTTAGCTTGCAGTCTGATTCTCGCCGGACTTTCATATGGAGAGCTTCAGGAACCCGTTACCACCAAGAAAACATCACTGAACGACACCATTACGGTGGTGCAGGAGTGCTCGTTTGGGGTGGAATTATTTTGAGTTCCAGAACTGACCTGCATGTTCAAATTGGAACCATGACAAGCCAAATCTATCGGGACGTCATTCTGGAACAACATGTACTTTTGTTTCGGGGCGCCATGGGCGCGCAATTTGTGTTTATGGATGACAACGACCGTCCTCATCGTGCAAACATCGTAAGCGAATGCCTTCAGTCGGAGGATATCACCCGTATGGACTGGCCAGCATTCTCACCGGTCTTGAATCCAGTAAAGCACGTGTGGGACATGCTTGGGCGACGAGTGCAGCCCGTCAACCTCCTCCTACATGTCTACCGAAACTTCGGAGAGCATTACTTTTTGAGTGGTGTAATATCCCCCAAGATCAGATCGATAATTTGATACTCAGCATGCCTAGGCGTTGTACGGACTGTATTGCATCGTCTGGGAGACATACAATGTATTAACAATCATACCAACCATGTAATATTGGTATTTTGTAAATAGGGTTTTTTTTTGTAATTTGCTCCAGGGAGAAAAATATCGCCAATTTTTTTAATAATATCAAACATAGAGCATCTTTTTTTGCTCTTTACCTTTTGTTTAATAAATAAGCTTTACAAATAAGTGAAATTTGTTTTGCTTCTAACTCTTCCTTTGCCTGATTTTGCATTATCCTTAATTTATGGACATGAGTGTAGTATATCTTTACCATTTATGATACACAGTCTCGCGCGCTGAAGATAATTTTTTTTTTTCCAAACAATGTTGCCAGTGCTCGCTTTGAAATGTTGAGATTGTTAATCAAAAATTCGTTAAAGTTTTACAAAATGTGAAATAGGTTATAAAACAAATTCCAAATTAGAGCTTCCAGGTGCACGTATTTGGGTGAATAACTTTATTCAAAATTAGATGGCTGTAGGTACTGTTGGTTTATCAGAATGCGAGAAACATACATACATACATTTATGCAGATTTTTCATTGCTTAATTTCTTTAAATGTAATGCAGGGCTCTAACATTTGGTGGCAACAATCTGAAAAGTGATACGCCGTTCACAGTGATTCGACGCAAAATGCTAAAACGAAATTAATAGCCTTTCTGGGCTAACGCCAAAATCACCGAAAGAGTGGCACCAAAAGTAAACTTTCGCCTTCTGTGCACCGAAAAGTCTGTCTTTCTATTCGCTGGTCGAATTGCCTGTTTTTTGTGTATAAACTCTAATTTTAATAGTAAAAATTCTTTTTTTTTTCAACTGTATTTGGTGTTTTTCTGTATTTTGCAATTTTTAAAGAGGATGCGTTGAGTTATTATGTGTTTCAGCTTTGCCGCGAAATAAGAACTGAATGAATTGAATGAGAAATATATCTCTAATGAAATTTGAGGAACTAAGTTTAAACTAAATGCAGGAAAAAATATATCTCTAATGAAATTTGAGGAACTAAGTTTAAACTAAATGCAGGAAAAAATATATCTCTAATGAAATTCGAGGAAATAAGTTTGAATAAAATGCAGCAAGAAATATATCTCTAATGAAATTCGAGGAAATAAGTTTGAATAAAATGCATCAAGAAATATATCTCTAATGAAGTTCGAGGAAATAAGTTTGAATAAAATGCAGCAAGAAATGTGTATAATTGTTTTTTTAAAGTCTTGATAAATAAACTTCCTTATTGTGATCAATATTTTAAAATTATTAACTGCTGCTTTATAATAAATTTATGCATTTCCTTTAAATTTCATTTTATTGATGCTGGTTCGACCCGTGGTTGATAAAGAATAAGTCTGTACACCGTTTTTCTTCAGGACGCTTTGCCAGTTTTCATTCATCATGATAATTAGTATCTAATTATTTTATTTTATATATTATTGTAGTATTGTAAGACATTTTAATCATTTACGAAATATTAATAAATTATTGCAAATGTGAACCTTTTGAACTGCTTAGTTCCATACATACACTCCAATAAATTTTACTGTAAAATTTTCTCTGGGTTCACAGTACTTTCAGAAACTTAGACAAAGAATATAAATCTAATTATAATAATATAAATTTAATTAATTGAAAAACCAATGTATGAAATGTACATGGAGATGCTTGTGTCGATTCATTTACTAGGATTATGTATACATAGCTGTTATCATAAAAGTTTTATGTGTGGTATTAATAAAAAATATATACAGTATTTTTATCACATGAACTATATTTCTTAATCTTATTGAATCACTTAATTAATTAAATTTTCAAACAGTTTTTTGGATTAAAGGCTCTAAAGATGAGAATAAATAACATTAATTAAAAAAAAGTTATATAAACTATATATAAACTTAGTACGGATCATTCATTCTCTCCGCAATGCTTTGCTCATTTTTCTAAATAAATAAAACATATTGTCTTTGAGATAAAGCGCTAAATATAACACATTTAAAGTAACCTCATATTTCTGCGCTTGCGCAACTGAACTGTTATCATGGGGAAAAGCTCGGAATAAGTCTGTATTTAACGTCGAGTCCTCCCATGAGAGGACAGGGACAGGAAAAAGTGGACGGAGCACTAGAATTTCGTCAGTGACTTTTACAGGTGTTGCTCCGCCGCACTACTGTACCCCGCTGGGCATTTGGTTGGCCCGCATCGGATGCTAGCCTACCAAGACATTTACATAGTAATTTTACATTAATACTAGACTTACGTATTGAATATACAATTACAAAGACATAGTATACAATTATTACAAAGAAACTAACCTATTAACAAAAGTTTGATTATGGCAGATTAATATAACATAATTACTTCGAACATACAGGGGTTGGACAAAAATATGGAAACACCTTTAAAAAAACATGTTTCTTTGCTTAATATGGTGTAGGAAACCCGTTGGCATCCAAAACAGCTTGCAGTCTTCTCGGAATGGATAAATACAGTTCCTGTATGTTTGCCAAGGGAATATTATACCATTCTTCCTGCAAAACGGTGGCAAGTTCAGATAACGATGTCGGCGGTGGATAACGAGAACGCACTTTCCGTTCCAATGTACACCACAAAGGTTCGATAATATTCAGGTCTGGTGACTGTGGTGACCAGGGGAGATGGGACAACTCATCCTCGTGCTCAGAAAAACAGTCCTGGACAATGTGAGCTGTGTGAACAGGGGCTTTGTCGTCTTGGAAGACATCATAACCATTGGGGAACAAAGTTTGTAGCATGGGATGAACTTGATCGGCCAAAATGTTCACATAAGTCTTGGCAGTCATGTGCCCTGACACAGTTATCATGGGGCTAGCAGAGAACCACGATATGGCTGCCTAAACCATAACAGAACCCCCGCCATGTTTCACTTTTGGCAACAAGCAGTCTGTATTATAGGCTTGAGATAGCATTCTCCAGACGTAAACTCGGCCAGAAGTGGGAAACAATGTGAAAGAAGACTCGTCAGACCATATTACTCACTTCCACTGCTCTATAGTCCAAGTTTTATGACTTAAACACCACCTTTTCCTGTTACGGACATTAGCATCACTGATGAGTGGCTTCTCAATTGCAGCACGGCCAGCAATTCCCTGTTTATGAAGCTCCCTTCTAATTGTTTTGGTACTCACAGGGTTCGGTAACACAACATTCATTTCAGCAGTAACTTTTGCAGCTGTGGTCTTCTTATTTTTCGTCACAATTGCCCTTAATGATCGTCTGTCACGATCACTCGGGGACACACTTTCGTCCGCGCTGTGATTTAGCAGATGATGTTTTTCCGCTTTTCAAATATGCGGAATAAATCTTCGATACAGTACCTCTTGAAACACTAAACAACCTCGGCTACCTTGCTTACGGAAGCACCTACCATACGTGCTCCAACAATTTGCCCACGTTCGAAGTCTGTTAACTCTGACATAATGCAATGACAACCTCACATAACAGTACTCCGACAACAACTGAACTGTTTAGCACATTTACGAAGTTGTATAGGTGGCGTCAGTAGTCAAAAATGCCAGCGCCACCTACATATTTCATTAAAATAAATCTTTCTTTTCAGACATGCATTTCACAAGGTGTTTCCATATTTTTGTCCATCCACTGTACATCATACAAACTTTCATTGTACATCGAACATTGTACATTGTACTTCATACAAACAATATATTTATGTTAGTATATCTAATTACATCGAATTACAATAAATATCTTTTTAAGGAACTAATTGGGGAAGAATTTTTTTGTGCATCTTATTGTATTTAGTTGTATTCCTAAGGCGAATTCTTAGTTGAATTACTAAGGCGAATTCTCTTATTAATACATTTCCTTTCATTTTTTAACTTGTTACACACAATTGCATCAGCACTGAAGTCTTACATTATTATTTTTGTAAATTAATGTATCATAAACACAGAAAATATACATTAGAAAATCACATAATATCGAATAGAGTCGTATATTATTTTTTAATTAATGGTTTAATTATTACAAGATTTTTTCCCCTCATCTCCTAATACAGTCCAAATTCTTAATGTAATTATTTTGTAAATACTATTCATACCATATTTAGCCTGTTTCAGACATTTGCAATATTTCTGAAATCTTGCATTATTTTTACAAGTTATGGAATAAGAGGTATTTATTACAGATGTGATAACATCTTGACATATGTCTTCTCTTTTATATGAGAAAAGTTTCTTCATAATCAAGGAAACCTTTTGTTGTAATTGAGGGATCGTTAGCAAGCATTTAATGTACTCAGGCGTAATTTGTGACCTTTATTTGCAGTGTAGCTCTTTTGTGAGCTGGCACTTGAAAATATAGTGCTCTGGGTCTCCCTTTTCCCCACACACGCACTTGTCTGAATCGCTCAAATTTTGTACAAAGTAGTACGTGGGGAAAGGACCATGTCCAGATAAGAAGATGTTGATGAAGAAGTTATAAGAGGTTGAATCATAAGTGGGTTTCTTGTAGAAGTTAAAAAGCCTTCTACCTATTTCTGCATTTTCCCATTCAGCTTGCCATGTCTTTAATGTAATTTTTTTAACATATGTTTAGGGAATGAGACATTGATTGGAGGTAGAGCTGCATTCTTAGCAAGCGCATCTGCCCTTTCATTTCGGGCTTTTCCAGCATGCGCTTTTACAGATTTTATTTTAACCTATGAGAGGACAGTCAGCTTATATCCATGCCTTCTCTGGGACTCGAACCCGAGCTCTTCAGTATCGAGGTCAGCTCCCCAGCCACTATACCGTCTGGGCGGCATGTTTGTAATTTAATAGGCCGTACAAGAAAGTCGTGTGGTGTCCACATCAGATTTTTTTAATTTTAAAGATAAAGAAAAGTATGATGAATTACATACCCTTAGTAAAGCGACGAAATTCTGTTTGTCTTCTGGTTTGCCACCTCTCGTTGCAGGATATTCCCAATCCATATCCAAACCATCGAAATTGTGCTTCAAGAGAAATTCGACAACACTGTCCACGAAGATCTTCCTGGTTCCACTGGAGGCTGCCATGTTAGAATAACGAGTGGAACCTTCATTCCAGCCTCCTATGGCAACAATTGTTTTCAGGCTTGGATTTATCTTCTTCAGGCCCGTAAACCTTTTAAATGCACCTATTTCAGAGAAAGAACTTGAATGAGCGATAGAAGAAGTATCAGATCCTTTTCAGTTGAGCATAATTCAGTTTGAGTTTCAATTTAGTATACGCTGCTAATTCTGTATTATAATTCTTCTGTACTTCATAATGGGCTAACTCGTGATATTAAACGAAACGAAGTCGAATTTACTATGCAATGTACTCTTAATAATAACGCTTCTACTGTTCTCGTTTAGATGGAAGAAAAATTGTGACACAAAATATGTTTCCCAGAAGCGTGTACGTGGAAAGTAGTTTCCCATAAATATTGCAGATAGAAAAGGATTCGTTCAATTATGGGACACATGAAACACTTATGGGGCACATGAAACAATTATGAGACACATGAAACAATTATGGGACACATAAACTTAAATAGTGTAAAAATTGAACAAAATATGCTACCAACAATTTAGCAGGACCAGCAGGAAGAGAGCGGTTTAGAAGTTTGTTGGCGTAATAAAAGATTAATTACTTTAAAACAACTCTTATTTTAACACCAGCAACCTCAACAGAACTATTCCTTACTAATTCGTTAAGGAACCACCACATTTGAGTAACAGAAAATCATGGTTTTGGTGTAGTAAAAAACCATATGTTTTTCTCATCTTTGTTTAGCTACCCTCTGAAAATTTAAACTGGTCTTTGTTTTGGGATAAAATGTTAGATGGAAAAACACATTAATACTGCACTGTATTTAATATTTTGTTATGTTTATAGAAGTAAAAGTATAATTAAAGTGAAGAAATCTTAGGCAGGGCCGACACTAGAACAGATAAAAACTGGTGCGACCGCACAGAAAGGCGGATTTAATAAAGGGAGGAAAAATTTTAAGAATTAATGAAGGAATTGGGCGGAAAATTTTCGGAATTGCAATTGAATTACAAATTGAAGTTTTTATGCACCGATTGACATCGGTTAAGCGCATCTAAAGCAAAAATTTCTTAGCTTATTCCCTGGAATGTAAAACTTACAGTCCCCAGAGGTATTTATTATTGCAGCTAAAGCTTTGCGTTTGAGAAAATAAGTAACAAAATTAATTTACCTTTTCCATAGTTTTCTTCTAAATCATAGTAAGGATCAAGACATCGAATTCTGTTGTCGAAGCCGAGTCCGACGAAACCATAGACCAGATGAGTACATATGAACGGGTCAATGTTTTCTACAGGAAACTTTCCATCTCCAGGCCTGTATACGGCCCAGCTACCGTAGTAGCAGACGACTTTGTATTTGTGCGAATCAGCTAAATGAGTAAAATATTAAAGATATTTAGAAAAAGAACATTTCTGTATTTATATAACTTAAAGCTGTTATGAAAAACAAAAAAACACTTCTTTTATAATATTGAATATTACAAACAAACAGGAGAACGATTTACCGACATAATTTGCAAAGTGTTTAACTAAAGATTAAAATTATCACCAAATTTTAATTCAGTTTAAAAACTTCTCATTTTTTTAAAAATTATTAAAACTTGAAATATGACCTTCTGACATTTCCATTTAAGTTTTACTAAGGAAATGTTTTTTACTAACGAAATTTTTTTTCTCCCATCAATAAAATTCCAACTTCTATACTCAAGGACCCCATTCCGGATATGAATTCCTGGGGTATTTATAGGATTCCTTGCCAGTGTGGTTTAATTTACATTGGCCAAACTAAGAGAGCCTTAAAATTTCGCGTCAAAGAACATGAGGCATATGTTAGAAAAAAGGAAACACAGAGGTCTTCTGTTGCTCAACATTGTTGGTCCGAAAATCACACTTTCAATTTTTCTGCTGCCAAAATTATTCAAAAACATTTTCCATTGGTGAACTGGATTTTCTAGAGGCATTTCACATTCATAAAAATCTTTCTGTTCTAGTTAACGATCCTAATTCCAATCCAAATTTGCCTTCGGCTTTTAGAGAAATTATGTTTTTAGTTCTGGTTTCGCCAACAGATGGCGCCACTTGCTTATTCTTGTCCAGGATTTCTTATCTTATCTAATCATTATTTCCTATCTTGTTCATTTGTGGTTTTGCAGCTGAAGATGATGGTTCGGTAAAACCATCGAAACTAGTCCTGTGAAAATTTTGTAGGTATAACGCTGATTTTTGTTGACTTCTGAATTAGTATTTATTCGGCGTGTTATTGTGTCTTAACGAAATGTTGTTTTATTTACGGCTTTCCTGTTTGTTTCATTTCGCTCATTGCAGAATTTATGTAGATGTGAGTGTCAAGTAAATTTGACTATAAAGTTATAAGATATTTTCTCCCTCCTTTCTGCATGCCTTCGTGGTGTAACAGTTAGCACACTCGGCTCGTATTCGAGAGGTCCAGATTCGAGTCTCGGCGAGGGCACTGCTCATTTTTCGTGCCTCCTGCTATCAAAATCGTAATGAATCTACAGTGGCGCCCGAACTGAACTCAAAATAGGAGGTGGATGATGATTCTTCACCACCAGGAATTGGCGATTCAGTCCCCTAATCTCCAGTCGCCCTTTAAAGGGGGTGTATATAAGTATTTTCTCCGTTCTTTCTGCATGCTTTCGTGGTGTAAAGGTCTTCGAGAGGTCTAGGTTTATACACTTTTAGGCTGCAAGGATTCTGGTGATGAGAGATATTTTAATAAAAAAAATTAATTTTATACGGCTGTCTACGAAGAAAATTCTAAGCATTAAGTTGTTTCTTATTCCGGTAAATACATTTAGAAAAAAAAAAAATATCCAGCCATATATACGCTTGATGAGCCATAAAGACAGAAGCCATAAAAGCCATAAAACAAAAGACATTTGTTATGCGAAGCACCGCTATATTTACGGGAAAAATGCCCATCATATATCTATTTTGGAAATTTATATTAGATTCTACTATCTAACTAAATAATGGCACTGACGTTTAGATTTCTTTATGTAGCATTTATTACAGAAAATGTGTGACGGAGACTTTTCATTTTCTGAAATAAAAATCCATTAATAAATTATTACTACCAGATTACCATAGGTTCCATGCTATTTTTTCAATCTAATCTTTCATATAATTCTCTAGTTTTAGATAAAACAAAAGTGGGATCCTTTTCTTACTCCAAATAATTAAAAGATGTTCTGTTATATCTTATATATATACGGCTTAAGTATTTGTCGCCAATAGTTTATTGGTTGCTTGCGTAACTGTGAATTGTTTTATTCCCCGTGCAGTGCAGCGCGTGACGAATATTATGACAAAGCTAGTCTGTTAAGTTCAACCCCAAGTGTCGACTTTTATTGTACACTCCAAGCCGGAGTTCTGTTAAATCTTATTTGTATAATAAAGGGTTAGTTACCCTTCCATCTTGTTGTTTCTTGTCACACGAACTTAAGCGATTATTCGCTAACTAGTTCTTAAGGTTACTCACTTATGACTGCAATTACTACACTGTGGTAAACCTCATAATATTACGAATTCCTATCACGAAAATATCACAATTAAAGGGTCTAAGACTTTTCGCCGTCGCCATTTCACCATGGCCGTTTCGCCGTCGGTATGTCGAGACGTTTCGCCATCAAGACATATTTTCTTTACATGACTGTATTATATCTTCCCATATTAAGGGGACTCATACACCTTAAAACCCATAAGATCTTCGAATATGTGACTGTTGCAAGAATAGGGTTAACTTATTTATTTTAAAAGCAATTACTTTAAACGTTTTACAGCTGACTGGATAATATAGCTGCATTCTGAAATACTAATCAGAAAGTTTGTGTTGCCACAAATATTTTTATAATTTAATCAGCTTTGTGACAAAATTTTTCATCATGTTTCCACCTTGCGCGCACAGTTTAAAACATTCTATTGCATAATTTTATTCCATATTTAATATATAGCATTTATAACATTTGGAAACTACTGTGAACCAAAAATTATAAGAATTTCAAGTTAAATTTTTAATTTTTTTGGAGTTGAGATTATAATATGTATTTTAATAAAAAAAATCTGTAATGTTTTCGTGCATAAAATTTTTTAATATTAAAATATTCATCAGATTTTGGTTCAGTTAGAAGATAGTGCCCGTATAAAGAATTCCATCAAATTTCAAGTCTGTACCACTAGCCATTTTTAAAATAGCATGCACGCAAACAAGGAAACATGACGAAACATTTTGTTCCAAAGCGGATTAAATTACAAAAATATTTGTGACAACACAAACTTTCTGGTTACCAGTTCCCAAAGCAGCTATATTATGTAGTCAGCTGTAAAAAGTTGAAAATAATTGCTTTTAAAATAAATAAAATATTCCAATTCTTGCAACAGTCACATATTGGAGGATCATGAGGGGTTTAAGGTGTATGAGCCCCCTTAAATTTATTTAGTTTAATAATTCTGCTTACCTTTTGTATACTTGATAAAGCTTGCTTGTAATATATATAGTTGTTTACAAGTATGAGATGTAAAGAAATTGGACACGGTTAGTTTTAAAATTATGTCAGTTTCAAAGAGAACTGAGGCGAAACCTCTGATATAACAGAAGTTATCTTATCGATTTTAAAATTATGCGGGTTCAATATTTACAAGATTCGTCAAAATTTTCTTGAAATTTCAATCGGCTAGTTCAGAGAAATCACTCATACAGGCAGGAAATTCGAATTTTTATGAAATCTGAATGGTAAACGGAATTACTTTGGAATATTGTCAGCACATTACTTTCTTAAAATTAATATGTCATGTGTAAATTTAAATGTCATTTGTATCAAAAATATGTCGTTTACATAAAATTTACACAAAATTGTCTTATACATTATTTTATATAAAATGTTTAAAGTAAACGATTATATTAAAGAGAATTATTAAACTAAATCAACTTAATATAAGACGGCAAGATACAATACAGTCGTGTAAAGAAAAATATGTCTTGACGGCGAAGAGTCCCATTTCCCATTTAAAGTACTTGAAACGGGATTTCTACTAAATGCGCATCACTCGCGTAAAATCAAGTAAGCGTTCAATTGAGCTGACATTTTATCCAGGATTACCTGTACTTTACTAAATTATAGGCTAGTATTTTATTGACATATTAACACTTAGCGCTGCGCACGTTTTTGTACCACTGCCTACCAGCAACTCCGGCACATTTTCGCAGCGGAATGCAGCATCCAGAATACCTCTTTCTTGTAAATATTTTACCAAAGAAAGGGATGTGACTATTCTCCTTAACTGACCAATAATCCTGCATATTCGCCAGGGGTTTCGTACCCATATTGATAATATCTCCAATAAAAGCCCAAAAATCATCTTCTTCCACAGCACGCCACGTTTTTAACAAAGAATTACAGTCAAAAGTCGTTAATCCGGACTCGTCGGGACTTCGGCGATTCCGGATTATCGATTTTTCCTGATTATAGATCATCAGTTTAAATCTGGTAAGATGGCATGCAGAAATTATAACATTAAAAATATGAAACCGTAATTTATGAAATAAAGAACAATTATGATCTAAAGGGTATCAAAATTTACAAAAAAAGCTTAATATTTATTTGTTTACTTTATTAAACGTTTCTTTCAATGTGTTTAAGTTGCTTCGTTTTTTATGTGATAATACATTCTCTTTAATTCTTTAAACAGGCATAATTTCTTGTTCAGTTACAAAGTTCCGCTGTTCAAGTCCTATAATTGCTGTATCGAGAATATGGACTAATTTGTCAATTGAAATATTTTCGTTTTCAATAACCTCTGTCACTTTCTTCGCTATCGGAAGCGAATTATAATGACGATGAATTTGATTTAAATCATATCAAAGATGGAGTACATCGAGATGAAATACTAAATTTTAATAAGGAATTATAAGCCAAATAAAATAAAAACATCTGTCCTGAAGATAAGGATAGTGCTGACAGATCAACTTCCAATTCATTGCGCGGCGCCGCGGCGTTAAAGATAAACAAAGTTTAGATAAACAAACGTTAAAGTTTAGATAAACAAAGGATATGCCTTTATCCATTTTTTGTAGCAATTCTACTTTTTGTTTAATGAACTTCGAAACATACTTTCGCTTTGTAGATCATTTACATATTAATAAATAAATATCAGAAATTCTTTGACATAATCGAAAGTTCAAGCTTACTTTTATAAAATTGCTCTGACAGTCTGCAAAAAATAATAAGCCGGATCCAATTCGAAGATTAAGGAACAACGCAATCTGCAACATTAACTGAAATAGATAATTAAATAATTTTAGCTTAACTTATACCGTCCGTTATACATTGAACGCGCACTCGTAAACGTATTTTGCGCACGCGCACAAGCATATTCTCAGCCGTAAAGGCCTTACGCACATGCGTCAACGCGACGCATGCACAGAAAGTTTGAAGCTTTTGAGTTCCGGATTATAGATTATTCCAGATTATGGGTGTCCGAATTAACGACTTTTAACTGTACTAGATATTTCTTTATTTTTTTAGAACATTTTCTGCGTAATTGTTGGTCTCTTTTATAATTTCATTTGCCAGTTCGTTTGTGAAAATAATTTGAAATATTGTGTCGGTTGTACAATATTTGTAGGAATTTGTGGTCTAGTGACCTTTGGCGATACACTAAAATGTATTCTATCCGGAATGTTTAATTCTTCCGTGACATCGCGCCATTAATCTAAGTCTTCGACTCTTCGCTTTCACTTTCAATAACTACCATTCGTCGTCTCTTTGGTAGTATAATTTCGGAACCAGTACTTGAAGTGGCAGAATTAATCAATATTGTCTTCCACAATATCTTCTAACAATGAAAAATCAAACACATCTTCACTATCACTCAACTCTGTATTCTCATCACAATAATTACTTTTCTCCGTGTTGCTAACCACAAAAATGGGTCAAATAATGTTTCAATCGTAACAGTAGCGAGACTGAGCACGTTTTAACTACAGATAACCATTGCCAACGCCGACGATTCCGTGACATCTTAAGCCTAATCATGCTAAAAACATTGGGCTCCGTAGCGGAGCCTACGCAGCACTAAGGGTTAAATTTGGTTCGAAATGAAAAAAAGCTCTATCCTAAGAATAAAATTTTACTTACTTTTCCCAGGTGTGTAGGAAGTTGGATGTTCGATCACGGGCGACGCTTTAGCTAAGCTCGCGGCAGCTGTCAGTACAACAACGAAGGAGAGGAACATTTTTTCCAGGTCTTTAATGCTAAAAGGTAAAAGTAAAAAATTACTCATGAATTACAGGCCAAGCCACAAATGCATAACAAAAACAACAACAAGAACAAAACAAAACAAAACAACAAAAAAAAAAAAAAAAAAAAAAAAAGGTAAAGTAGATACATACATTCCAAACACTGTCGGTGAAACAACAATATATAAATTTCTGTTTTTTTTCCTAAAATCTTTAAATCTTTAAAATCGTTTACTACAATATAAGGTATTTTCTCCTTCCTTTATGCATGCTTTCGTGGTATAACGATTAGCACACTCGGCGTGTATTCGAGAGGTCCAGGTTCGAGTCCCGTGGAGGGCGTTGCTCATTTTTTTCTGTGTCCTACTTTAAACTAAACTAATGACTCTACAAGCTTTATATTTAATGTTAGTGTTGTGCATATATATTTCAGAAAATTGTTTTATAGGTATTTTTAATTTACCCATGCAGTGAAGTGCCTTTTTCTGGTCATTTCTTTTGTAATAGGTAAGACTGGATAATAAATTAAGGCTAATCTTTGGAATATGGTAACAGGTAGTTTGGCGACATTTTGGTAAGGCGATAAAGGTTACTAGCTAGGACGTTAAGCAGTGTACATGGATATAGTGAAGAGTGTGCGCAATGCCATTTTTGTGCAATTCTGGGATGTTTCTTTAAGTAAAAATAAGTCGACGTGTACATGGTTTAGTGATATTTTAATTAAATGATAGTTATTTTGTGAATTTTATGTTTGTGGGAATTTGGTATACGTTTCAGTTCAAGTAAACGTCTATGGAAATAATTTAAATATTTTACACTAAGTATTTGTAACCATTTGTAATGTTTGCAGTATGAATTCGTTGTTGACGTTTATAATATACTAGATAATTTAGAGGTAAAAGTTTTTGGATATTTTATTTATTTTATACGTGGAAATGTTCATCCTTGGAAAGGGTATGTACTTTTTCGCGATCAGGTAATTTCATATATGTGCTTTTTACCGAGTTTAAAGATTCACAGAATTTTTTTGCATTTTCGTGCAAATTTTTGTAATTTATGAGAAAATAGCAGTGTAGATGGATAAAGTTAAGAGTGTGTGCAATGCATTTTTGTGCAATTCTGGGATGTTTTTTTAAGTAAAAATAAGTCGACGTGTAAATGGTTTATGTGTATGTGTTATTCTGAAAAACGCGCAAGGAGTTTGCGATTCTGCACTTTCTCCCAATTTCGCACCTAATCTTCGTCATGATTAAGCATTTTTGTTCCATAAAAGTTCTAGTATAAGCGTAATTCGGCTAGAAGATTGTTGGAAAAAATGTTAAGTAAAAAAAAAATCTGAAATGTTTCAGATTTTAAATTACGTTCAAAGGGGCGTTTTTTTAACATTTTGTGTGTTACCTTTCTTTATTAAATATCATGTTCCTCGCACTTAAAACCATAAGATCCAGTGCAACAGCAATATCGCAAAATAGTTTTAAAACGAGTCTATCTTTAGAATTTCCGATACAGAGACTCACGCGCTGGAGATAAAAATGTTTTTCTGCACAAACGTTGCCATTGCTCGCTTTGAAATCCTTGAGTTTGTTAATCAAAAAATTCGTCAAAGTTTTAAAAAAATAGGAAATCGATCATAAAACAAATTTCAAATTTCAAATTGGGTTCCACATGCTGATATTCGTTGGAGGATTACGTTATTCAAAATTCGATGACTCTATGTACCGTTGTTTTATCACAATACGAGAAATATACATACATTTATGCAGATTTTTCATTATTTAATTTCTTCAAATATAATGCAGGACTCTAACCTTTTGTGGCAACACTTTGAAAAGTGAACCGACAATTATGAGTCCGACGCAAAATGCCAAAACGAAACTAATAGTCCTTCGGGATTCAAATCCCTTTGGACTAAAAACTCGCCTTTACTTCGTGCAAACAAAATGGCGTCCAAAACAAAACTAGCAGGTTGCTGTAACAGGTTTGGTCGCCAAATTGTCGCCAAAAAATCGCCAAGTTACCATAATCCAAAGATTAATCTAAGTTAAATTTGTTTCGATTGAATTTTTTGTGGGATTATTTAATTTTTAAGCTAATGCAATTACTTGCGGAAACCAGTAATAAAGCACTGAGCAACAAGTATGTACTGAGCAAGATACCTCTCCTGCAGTCGTCTTCCGGTAATGCAAATGCCCGTTCGCACATTTTTAGACGACTTTGCTTTGCTATAAAAAAATCTCCTTGCTTGGAAAAAAAAAATGCTTTTTAACTTCCACTATATTTTGTGAAAGTGCAGATTATGGTCTGCTGTTTGACAATTTTGTTTTCATGCAAAATGGCGCTTTTACAGAAGCAATGGACGGAAGGCTATGTTTCTGCTCTTCCCGAATAATACTATTTGTATTTAGTTATTAAAAAATCTGTGAAAGCCATGATTTTTCGGTATCTAAAGCAATGATATATAAAATTATCAACAGGAAAGGGGAAAAATGTCAGAGATGGGTTTCAAGGAAAAACACTGTTCAAAATACATATCCAAGAACAAAAAGGAACGTTTCGAATGTTGCAAATCTTATAAGGTATTTCTCCCACTTCCCTAGCGTGCCTTCGTGGTGTAACGGTAGCACGCTGGGCCGGTATTCCAGAGGTCCGTGGTTCGATTCCCGGCGAAGGCGGTCGCAAATTTTTCATCTTTTCTGCTTCCAATCAGCCTAATGACTCTACGGTCTTTGAGATAAAGCGCCAAATATGACACATTTAAAGTAACCTCATATTTCTGCGCTTGCGCAACTGAACTCTTATCATGGGGAAAAGCACGGAATAAGTCTGTATTTAACGTTGCGTCCTCCTATGAGAGGACAGTCAGCTTATATCCACGCTGGTGGTAGCGCGCTGGGCCGTTAATCCAGAGGTCCGTGGTTCGATTCCCGGCGAAGTCGGTTGCATATTTTTTCATCTTTTCTGCTTCTTTTCTGCTTCCAATTAACCTAATGTCTCTACAAGTGGCGCCCGAACTAAAAGGGTTGGATGATGATTCTCCGCACCCAGGATTTGGCGACTAGGTACCCTAAAACCCTAGTCGCCCTCTAAAAAGGGGAGTATATAAGGTATTTCTCCCACCACTTCCCTAGCGTGAATTCGTGGTGTAACGGTAGCACGCTGGGCCGTTAATCCAGAGGTCCGTGGTTCGATTCCCGGCGAAGGCGGTCGCATATGTTTTCATCTTTTCTGCTTCCAATTAACCTAATGTTTCTGCAAGGTAAGAACTTTAATATTAAAAGAAAATCTTCGAAGTGAAAGGAGAGTTGCATAATCATTAAAATGCTCAGGGTCAACTTGCAAAGAAAGTGATTAATGATGATTTGAATCTTAAAAAATAGAGAAAAACGTAAGGTGCATCGTAGATCTTCACGACATATCGACGAAAGCAGAACGCGCTGCAGAGTGCTCCATGGGAAACAATTATTCGGCCAAAAATGGAAAAATGTTGTCAAAGTAGACGAATCTTGGGTATATTTAAAGGATCGCAATAAAATGAGATCCATTTATTAAGCTCAAAGAGAAGAAAAAAAATCTTAGAGCATGGTTCAAAGAATCTAAAGAAAGTATTTTCAAAGGGATTTATGACTGTTGATGGTTTTTGATATAACGACTAATAAAAATTAAACAGCGTACAAAAAACTGTTAAGGTCCATTCTACATATTATCAGGATCATATTTTATACCCAATTTTCAAATATGAAATACCTTCTCTTTATCCACAGTGTCATCAAGCGGTGGATCTGCATTGGGACAAAGCCAGCAGCCGCAAGTTAAAATCAATTGTTAATTTTGTCAGGGCTTGTATTTCTCTTGCTTTGCTTTGGAAATATGATGTGTCCTGATTAGGAACAGGGAGCTTACTCAAGCTATGTTCAAGGTTTGGGTGTAACAGACGACACAAGCAGGAAGGGTATACGAAACCCTTTATTTTCTATACTTTTACAAGTACTCCCGAACTTCGGGATACAGAGACCAACCACTTGTGGTCTGAACGTAAGAATATAAAACTACTAACTAAATCTCTAACTAAAAGCTAACTTTGAATTAGTATACAAATGCCTAGCACTAAGACTGGCCTTTATTTAAAAGGGTTCATATGTAGTACGCCGAGCAGCTGAAACTACGATAACGTTTTCAAATATCAAGAGGGCTAAATCTCTGGCCTTAAAGGCAACCGGCAACCGAGTGAAAACTCCTAAAACTGCAGTGGCAAGCGGCTTGCTTCGTATAACTCCTTCCTTTCTCGCTTGGCAAAAAGCCACAACTTAAGTACTTGGCGTTAGCAAGACAATTTGCATAAACAAGTTAAAGCATTTAATTCTGGCCGGAAGTAGAAAATAAGAAGTGATAGTACAGTTTTAAAATAAAATAAACGTTGGTGCTACTTTGGTAGACGGTTGCACGGATTTTGGCGAGTTTTTGGCAATTTTTCTTTTGGCGAGTAATACGACTTATGGTAAACTCATTGCTGGATAAGTTATTTATGCTAACCGATACTTTGTTGACATTTTATTTAAAAAAATAATGCGTGTCATTATGCATAAATTCCGTGTTTTAAATATTATTTATGGCTTCTAAATATTAAAAATCAATTTAATTTTGCATTTTTATTTGAAATAAAAATTTTATTCTTATCATATTTTATGAAATTTTATGCTGTGGATGATGTAATCAGTGACGTCACCTTACTTAAAGTAATTAGTTTTAATATCTATAAATTTAATCTAATGTTTTAAACATTATTTATGGCTGTTAAATATTAAAATACAATTTAATTTTGCATTTCTTTTTTAAAATGATTTTATTATGTATGATTATTTAAATAATTTTAATTCTAGGCGTGATGTAATCAGCTCTCTGATTGGTTTTAGAATATTTGTGCATTAAGGAGCTGTAATCAGCTCCCTGATAGGTTGCTGAAAATTTGTGCATTACCGCGCCATTTTAAAAATTTAATGCATATCTTCGAATTCCTTCAAAA